TCGTAACTTAGGAAAAGTCAAAGGAATCGTCCTTACTTTAGGACACATAAGTAGGTGTCTTAAGATGGTCTTAGGATGGTCTTAACCTGAGGATATATTTTATGATGGTTAATATGTAAACAAATACGTCCGCCACCTATATATGGATCCTCTTTTTTCTAAATAGTTTTCTATTTTCATTTATTTAACGTGTTCTTGCTCGTATCCAAAACATATTGCAAAAGCAGTAATATATATATAAAACACCCCTTTATTTTCGACGTGGAAAATAAGAATATTAGAGGGCATCGTACGTATACAAAACACATAAAACAAATGTACATAGGTTAAGATATTAAAGAATATTTACCTTAAAAAAAAGTTCAGAAAAGGGGTCCATTACCAAAGCGCATGTGATCCGTAATGAAATAATTTATGTACTCCGTATTTATATGAAAGATGCATGAGATTTGCCTTTGAACTCTGTAGAGTATAAAACCATGACACTTCGAATTAAACTCACTCAAAAATACATAATGATTGTTACCGATTGTCTTTTATTAGTTTTCACTGTTACTGCTGTTTACAAATAATTTGATTAATTATTATATAAAACGTTGTTACATTTTTTGTGTTTTTGTTTTTATTTCATGAAGTTTGAATGTACCATTATTAGATAAATATTATTTCTTTTTTTTTTATGATAAAACTAATAATATTTCTAATTTTTTAATCTTGTAATTATTTAATATTGGTGAAATTCAACGCATTCTTAAACATTTAAAAGTTTTAAATTCCTATTTTTCTTTACGCTAACACTTAGGACAACGGTTAGGACATCCTTGGGGCATGTTTATCGAAGCTGTCCTATAATCTGTCCTAAGACCTATCTTAGGAATAAATTAGGATAATGTTAGGACCCACTTACGACATATCTCAGCATGCACATCGAAGCTATCTTAGGACTAGCTAGGATGTCCTAACCGCTGTCCTAAATGTAAAGTTAGGACGAAACCTATGACTAAGATACGTCCTAAGATGATCTATTTCTATGCAATCTGATTACAATTCAGATCCATCGTAACTCGCTTTCTCGTCGAAGTATGATCATAACAAAATCACAGATCTATATTTTAATTAGATTATTTTGTATTTTGACAAATTATATTCAGTACAATGCTTTAAACATACTGACACTTATGCCTTGAACATCTCTATCGCATTTTACAGATGCTGGTACCTTTTTAACCCAAGAAATACAAAACCAAGCAGCACACTATATACGTGTATGCATATATGCAAAAAAAATATCGCATATTTAATGAATGAAGAAATATCTTTTGGCGAATCTGGTACCCTGTCAGTCATCATTTTTTTTTAATCGCCCTATTTTCTTGTCGGACCATCTCTAAATCTGAATCGTTGCTTACTTTAACCAAAACCTTATAGTGTTTACCTTTCTGAAGAGAAAATGTGCAACATTTTTTAAAAAGATGTCGTGCACATAAATATTTGCGTCGCTTTGATATAATCTTCTTGGAAACCTTTTTTTTACATTTTCGACCCTTCAAAATTAATGAATTTGACGAAGGTATACTTTTGAAAAATCTTGGATAAGATCGATTATTGAAACAGATTCTATTTTTCGCTGGTTATTTAACCTTGAAGCAATTCAAGCTTATTTACTAAGGATATTTCATCAATAGGAACCAGTTTTTGTCGAGCCTGCACTAGGGATAGTGATCCTGCGGCGGCGGCGGCGGCGGCGGCGTTAGCTTACTTCTTAAAAGCTTTATATTTTAGAAGCTAGAATACCTGGATGCTTCATACTTTGTATACAGATGCCTTATGTTACGAAATTTCCGTCTGCCATATGTCCATTGTCCTTGACCTCATTTTCATGGTTCAGCGACTACTTGAAAAAAAGTAAACATTTTTTGTAATGTTAATTTCTTTCTTATGATGAGTTATAGGATAACTATATTTAGTATGTGCGTATCTTGCAAGGTCTTCATGCCCGTCAGACAATTTTCATTTGACCTCGACCTCATTTCATGGATCAGTGAACAAGGTTAAGGTTTCGTGGTCAAGTCCATATATCAGATACTATAAGCAGTAGGTCTACTATATTTGGTATATGGAATGATTGTAAGGTGTACAGGTCAAACTGATAGGTGTCATCTGACCCTGACCTCATTTTCATGGTTCAGTGGTCAAAAGTTAAGTTTTTGAATTTTGGTCTTTTTTCTAATACTATATGCAATAGGTCAACTATATTTGGTGTATGGAAATATTTTATGATGTACATGTCAGTCTCGCAGGTTTTATTTGACCTTGCCTTCATTTTCACGGTTCATTTCTCAGTGTTAATTTTTTGTGTTTTGGTCTGTTTTTCTTCAACTATAAGCAATAGATCAATTTTATTTGTTGTATGGAAGGATTGTAAGGTGTATATGTCTGTCTGGCAGGTATCATCTGACCTTGACCTCATTTTCATGGTTCATTGGTCAATGTTAAGTTTTCATGGTTAAGTTTGTTTCTTAGATACTATAAGCAATAGGTCAACTATATTTAATGCATAAATAGATTGTACGGTGTACATGTCTGTCTGGCATGGTTCATCTAACCTTGACCTCATTTTCATGGTTCATTGGTCAATGTTAAGTTTTCTTGGTTAAGACTGTTTCTTAGAAACTATAAGCAATAGGTCAACTATGTTTGGTTTATTGAATGACTGTAAGGTGTACATGTATTTCTCGTTTGGTTTATCTGACCTTGACCTCATTTTCTTGGATCATGTTAAAAAAAAGTTAAATCACAAAAATACTGAACTTCGAGGAAAATCCAAAACGGAAAGTCCCTAATCAAATGGCAAAATCAAAAGCACAAACACATCAAACGAATGGACAACAACTGTCATATTCCTGAGAAGTTAAGTTTATGTGTTACTTGTAGTAAAGCTTTATTTTTAGGACTATCAACATAAAATCAATGGTTAGTAAAGAAAGCGAACATTTCAGCGTGTGCTCTCTTGTTACAAAAAGTATGAATTTCCAAGCGCAAACTAGGGAAATCTCGATAATTGGACATTTGTTTAGTCAAACAGTGTATTGTAATAGTCTGACAGATCGTTTATCTTTTTTTTTTTCACGTTTGGACACGATCTCTATTCTGTTATTCAAATGTAGCGTGTTTGAAGAGACGTCCCCATCATTCATATACAGAATTGTTGTACATGCTATCATCCCACAGCCATACGTTCTTGGTTATGTGGATATCATTCACCCAAGAGGTTTAGAAACTCCTTCTCGAGGAACCAAAATGTCGTCCCCGTCTAAAATCAATTGAAAAGCTTGTCGGAATAACATCTTTGACACTTTGCAAATTCTTGTACTATGTGATGCAAACAAGAAAAAGGCAACAAAAAAAAAACCGACTTATAGAGTAATAATTGAATGATTATTGGTTGCTTAACGTCCAATTGAAATATTTTATGCATGTTCAGGACGAGAACAAATTTACATTAAAATACAATAGGTAGGTCCTGTAGTAGAGGCCGTCCATGATAAATGTCGGTGAACCTTTGACATCCTCTGGGGAAAAAAGTATATTGGATAGGGACAAACATTTTTCCTTGCAATATGCCATCTACGGACCCATCAAAGACTAGTTGCAAGGGTTCTTAACGTGCAGAGAGCTTTGCACTCTTTTTACTCGAAGGCATCGGATTTAACGGGTCCATTCTGACCGGACGTGGATGCGTACTTGTACATCCCACAGAGTCAAACGGACGCCCCATTTTGGAAAGGGTTTTACTACCGGTCGGAAGAAGACATAAGTGACCACATTTCTATTTCCCAGTCACTCTTGAGTAATGAACACTAATGACAAATGCATAAAACAATATGCAGATTTCTATGTACATTTAGGGACTGAATATCAAAAGTATTTAGAATAAGATCTAAACAAACGGTTAATTAAACATTCCTAAGCACTAGCGGATGTGACGTACACAGTGGTGTGATTTCCGTTAACAGTTGTGATTTTGCTAATTCAAATTATGCAGTATTCTTTCCCATAGTCTGATAAAAATAAATTTGGGAAGCTTATTGAATAGGCTTTTGTCAAAACATTTCTCGAAAAATCTTCTGTTGTAATAATACCCGATCTTAGTTAATTTCTAAAAGATATATAACACATTGTTCCTGGACATGCATAGACATGTTTAAGGTTTTCTTGCTTGAAAATAGTTAAAGTTTGTTATGGCAGGATATTTAATAATAAAATATAGTAAAATTATAGTAAAAAAGTACTACTACTAGCAGATATTTTGATGATGTACTGATAATCCCGAGACTATTAAACATGCTGAATGTATTTTTGCTTTAAAAACCAAGCTTACAATGAAGTAATGAAAAGTTAATAATGACCTTTGTTTTTTACCTTATTGTTATTTGAAAATTTCGAGTCAAATTAAAGTCCCGTGTGTATGTTGTTCAATAAAATAGTTACTCGCGATTTAAAAAAAAAAACAACTGAAATCCGCCGATACGTACACCCTCACTGACGGATATGATTTAAAAAATGTTAAATGTTATATGAATAAGTGTTCATGGTGTTGGATTATGGTTGTCATTTATATACGGAAAGATATAAAATACTTGACATTATTTGATTTATACACTTTTGAAGTCATCCTTCACACTTAGTTTATTTAATTAGTTTGTTCGAACAGTTGAAATTATTCATTAGATGACTGGTAAAATGCAGAATAACTTTTTATGTAAGCAGCTGTTATCCTCAAAATCCTTAAATACTGGTAGACGAAACAGCTGTAACAGTTACAGTTTGTTTTCCGTTACACTTCTTGCTCAAATAGTGAAATATAAATAGGTTTCATTGTGTTCTCCTTTTCAATGTAATTTGTCTTTTTATCCCATTGATAAAATGAATTGGAATAATACGCATTTTCCCCCAAAGAACTATTTAACACGGATATTGATGATATACTTGAACACATTTGAACTTATTGTGCATCTTATGAAGTTCATGAGTTTTGTTCCACAGTTGATATTGCATCATCTTCATCGTCAATTTTCCATTCATGTACGAGAACATTCGGCGAGCCGTAGTCGTGACTAGTTATTAACGTGTCCAGTTTTTCAGGAACATATTTTACTTCAAATCTTTTGTCATGTGTGAGTGTTATGTTCAAAACTTCAGCTACTATTCCGAGGTAGATATCAGCAATACATATTTGTTTCACGTGACGGAAGGTCTTTGCTAACATTTACAACATTCATAGACAGTTACATAGATCCACCACTAACGCATGGAGGCCAATGTTTGTTAGGGTAATCGTCAGTAGATACGTACCACTTAGAATATTTCTTTCTACGAACTACAGCATGTTCATACTTAAAACCAATGAACACATCCTCGTTTTCAGATTCAGTAATATTTTCAATAAGATCTAGAAGAAGTGGTATATTTACATAGTAGTCATCATCTACAAACAGAACAAACTTAGCTTGACTGCAGTCATACACAGCCCAGTCAAATCCCATAATGGTCTTCAGAGTATTGTTTTTATACTCGTCGATGAAGTCCTCTTGGACCATGTCTTCATACAAATCATATTCCATCTTAGATAATGACGTGATAAGCGGTGAATCCCCTAATAAGTACGCTATTTGTATTAAACTGTTTGTAAAGTTCCCTCAAGTTGCTCGGATAGCCAAACGATGCCCAATTTGAAAAACATTAGATTTTACTAAAATTAATAAACTTGGGTCAACATGATTACCGGTACATTTACATATTGTACTCTTCCGTAACATGAGTAAAGACTAGCTTCGTTTATGTTCATCCATTCTGAAAAAAAAGATTAAATATGCCTTCTTTAAAGATCATAAAAATAAAGTTATACCAAAAATAAATAGAAGTAGATGGGGGTATACGTCAAAGGGACAGCAACCCGATGACAAAAATAATCAGTAGACATATAGATGGAAACATTCAGTCTTCGACAATGGACAGGTGTCTATACAAAATGTTGAGCGAGAGAGACTCGGAATCTGACTGAATGAGTTCTTTCTCAACATATTTGAATTAAAAGCACATGAAATCGGCGAAAAACGTTCTTGAAGGTGCCTTAAAATTATCAAATCTCTAAATACCAATACCGATTTTTCCTATTATTCAATATATTGTTGATAAGTAAATTTCCGTTTGATTGGGATAAAATAATCATAACTTAGGGTCACCGACATCATCCTTTACCTTGAATGTCGGTAATTGAAAATGCAAATGGTACATACAAGAATGAGAATAGCACTTAATTATAGTATACCGGTATGACATGTACGTGTAACAAAAAAACAAGTACAAGCAAAACAATAAGACACTATATCGTAACAAATTTGATCATAACTGTTTAAAGACGTGTCTACTTAAGTCAGTGATAAACACATTTTTTGCTTATTTTAAAAATAACCAAATCACTATAAAAAGTAAAATTAATTGCACTAAAACCACTGCTCTTGTTGATTGATTGATTGATTGATTGGTGTTTGTTTTAGTACTGTAACGGTTTTGTTCTTTTCGTTTACTCTGCCGTTTGATTATTAAAGTTTATATCGCAAATGTACTGAGTTTTTATCCTTGAACCAAGTGTATTTCAAGTGATTATTGACATATGACATAAGTCAGCTGTTACAGGTCTAAAGTTGTCATGCTGCTAATCTTACCAGAATTTTCTTGTCAATACTTTACTTTTAGTTCAAACACATTTAGTCTTTTTATGGATTATGCCATTGTTCATAAATATGTACAGTTTCAAATCAGGCATTTGTCCTGAATCTTTTTAGTTTGACTCTGACATGAATGTACAATACAATAATTGTATTGACAAAATTCGCAAAGTGTCCTCATGAGAGCAGAATAATTACGATTAAATCATCGTTACAAGATACAGTAATAAACATGATTTAAATGATTAAGTAGATTCAAACATTCGATGTAATATACATTTAAGAAAAAACTGCAGATAACATATTGACGAATAACAGCGAAAAATCCTTATTACCATAGCAAATAGTTTATTCTGTACAATAAGAATATTGCTTTAAAATATTGCAATTAAAATAATCAAGTTAAGGTTTATCGTTCCACAGATTAAGGCCTTTCATTTAAGGATAGTCTCTACTCATGTTTTTATAAAAATAAGAGAAGACGATATTTTTTAAAGAAGATGTGGTATGATTGCCATTGAGACAACTCACCACCAGAGACCAAATGGCATAAGCCTTCAACAATGAGCAAAACCCATACCGCATAGTCAGTCATAAAAGGCCCCGAAATAATGACAAATGTAAAACAATTCAAAAGAGAAAACTAACGGGTGATTTATGTACAAAACAAAGAACGAAAAACAAATATGATATACAGCAACACTTTTGACTTTTTGTCTGATACTTGGAATCCTCTAGTTTTATATATGTAGTGCTAATACAACTTTTGCCCAACAAAGCTCTACTTTTCTTTTCTTAATTTATTACATATAATTTAAAAAGCCATTTGTGAAAATCTTATACAGTCCTTGTTTTTTTTATAGTTTTTGAGAGAAGAAAAGTTGCCAATGTTAAATGTATGAAAAATCTAGAGAGAATCATTTCCTGTCAAATTTTCAATTGAATATATATTGCATCTTGAAAACAAGGACACAGACTTGTCTTTTTTTGTACTTTTAAAGTTCCGCTATTTATATACAGTCTTTTTAAACGCTTGTTATATGGAGACGGCGTAGCGAAAAATTCCACAAACTTTTCATTTTTATTTCAATTGGTGTGACCTTTAACACCGAATTGTTCAGTACATTTATTGGTAACTTTATAAATTTGAGAGTCGTAAACTAACACAAAACCTGCTTTATCGTACTTATCTAAATCAAGACTATAATCTCTGATAATAAATACATATGTTGCCAACTATAACTTTTAAGGTGATCGTAAGGAGTGTGTGAATAGAAGTTACGTGTTTCTTTACAAATTCTTTAATATGTTGCAATACAAATAACTGCAATATTGACATAGGTCTTAACCGAAAAGCAAAGTAAACTCGCTTATCTAATATATTTCCTGATTACACGATGGAATGAGGTTCATCTTTTAAAATCATTGAATATTTTGATATCTGACATATTTTTCGGAAAGAAACTAAATGAATTTCAATTGTTTGAGCCCTTTTGTTTAGATGTCGATGCTCATAACCGTCCAATGTATTTGCTTCCCTCTTTTATGCCTGATAAAGGTTATATGCGAACAAACGAGGGTCGCATGGAAATTTTTTTGAATTGTATCACTGATTTTTATATCTTTATGTTCAGTTTCTTTAGAAAGGTGTTTCAAACGCATACAGGTTTTATTTTTGATTATCGAAATACCTGAAAAACAAATCAAACAAAATATAATTAAAAATTTACATAAAGATGCAATCAACAGGTACCTTGATTTGGTTTGGAATATCCTACTATTCATTAAGTAAGAAGAAATCAAGTTTTGCAGAGGTCAAGTTTGTAGTAGTTTAGAGACCTTTTGCAATATTGATATTAATATAAATGTTCGGAACAATGACTTGAGGCTGCCAGATTCTAACTGAAATGAAAAATAGATTCAGGGAATTTGTTTTGGACACGAACTTGTCGATGGAATAGATGTATGTAGTATAACAGGAAATAGTTTCATAAGTTCAAATTCAGGAGTCTGTAATTCAGTAGTTTTCTTTGGTTGCTGTCTGTCATATTTTTTTATCCGTTTATTGTTTTGTCATAAGTTAGGCTATTGTTTTTTTCTTTGGAATTGTATCAGATTGTGTCACTTGGGAGTCTTTTACAGCTGACCATACGGTTTGAGTGTAACTTATTGTTGCAGGCCGTATGGTGGCAAATATTGGCTTAAATCGACGTCATTTGATCTTTATGAATAGCTATCTCATTGGCAATCGTACCACATCACCTTATTGTATATTCATACTTTCATTTTAAAGTGACTTTGAATTGGGTGTTTTGATCGAAGTCGTGAAATATGGAACTGACCGGACACTTCAACAAATGGTTCACGAGAAAAGATGAAACTTTTGGGAGCTTATTCACAAAGCATCCGTTAACTAACGAACATATTCATATCTCTGTTCAGTTTCCGGTAATTTTTAGTTTCGACAGAATCATTACATACATTTTATTTACTTTTTGGATGATTTTTAAGAAATGGGAAGCTTTTGATTAACTTAAAATGATGTATATCATAAATATTTTTTATCATCTAACTAGAGAACTTAAGTAGTGGTCTATATAATAATCATGCGAAAACCAAATTTAGTGATACACTTCATGAAAGGCTACATAATTACAGTTTATGTATGTCAAACAGTTGCAATATGAATGTAGCTGTAAGGAAATGAGTAATGTTTCCGTTTACTTCTTTACATGACTGATATACAATATATTCTATAGGGTAATAATTTTCGATTTATCTCCCGCTTCCTCTCTTCTCCTAATTAAATATCAAAAACTTTTATTCGAAGTATTTCTACCCATGAATCATTTTGCATGATTTTTATATTGGCTGGTACTTAAAAATGTCTCAACTTATTCGGTATATGAACAAAAAACAAAATCTTTATTTGCATTACATTTGACAAATTTTCGCTCTCCTGTTTTCTGAGATTTCATGATAAAAATCTAAGTGTTTTACTTAAGATAATTATTTCTTGTTATGAAACTTAGTCATTTTCCGAAAAACAATCATGTGTGTTAAGTTTGAAGTTACATTTTAAATGTTACATATGAAAAATTTTACCGGGTTTTCTAGTATCTTAGATTTAATGATAAAATCTTAGTTTTTGCCTCAATGTACTATTTTCATTTCATATGTCTTCATGTAATGCTTCATTAATAACATTCATACTACAATTTCTAAGTTTTCATAGATTTGAAAAAAAATCCAATCTAATCCAAACTATAACTATTAGCTTCGTACAATTTTAGTATATACATTTGAGGACATCATGGCCACATGAATACTCAAGAAGTTTCTGTACCAGTTTTAATAATGTTCATGTTTACGCCTTTTATGCATAGATTGTCTGGACTATACCAGCCATCCATTTAAAACAAATGATTTCCCAGTGCTAAATATGAAAGCAAAATAGTTTAACAAATAAAACGTTGACACAGAGATAAGCTATGTTATTTTGTTAGTATAATGCAAATGTTTATATTAACACTGCAATACTTTGAACCAAAAATGGTTCCACTTAACCTGACCCTATTACAAACAATAACATTTAAACAATCAAACGTTTCAAAGTCAATAGACTATGGCTTTAGAGGCAGGGCCAAACATTCCCCATGGATATGAGATGTGTAAAATGAATGCTTGTTCAATTCTATACCAAATATCATCGACATATATAAGTGGTTTCCCTTAAACTTACAAACCGTTAACACAGTATTGACGGTCTCGTCTCTACTACTTCTTGAAAGCTGGGGCTACATTTACATGTTTCCGATCCTTCGACCTTCTCCAGTTTCAAGAGACATTTTAAATATTAATGTAAGGATTGGTGAAACTTGTTCCTTTGTTCT